CCCCAAAACCCCAAAACCCCAAAACCCCAAAACCCCAAAACCCCTTGACAGAGCTTTAAAATGAAATATAAATATGAACAAGCACAGCTTCCTTAAGAACGATAAGCTCACCGAAGAAGGCAAGATCGCATGATCTGTACTTCAAATAGACCCGATTCTGCTTCAAGTCAAGACCAAAGACTCCTTCAAGACTGAAGGAGTCTCTGATAAGGTAGCAGAGACTCGACACTACCATTATGAAATGAAACGGAAACAGCTTCTAGAAGAGATACATGAATACCTAAAGGATGTCTCTTCAAGAGGCAGCAACAAAGCTTTCATGCGGAGGTACAGCCTTGCTTTATAGTTTGTATAGCAAATTTGTAGACCATGAAATCAAAAAGGCACGAATCTCCAGCCAAGGCAATTCACCTTACCACTCACGTACTAAGCCTGATATTCCGTTAAGAGTGCCTCTTGACGAGGAAGCACGCAAGAAGCGTGAAATGGCTAAGGACATCCTAGGCCAAGGTAAATTTCGAAAATTCAAAATCTCTACTTAGCTGTTAAACCCAGATCTAACTTCTTTAGAGCTTAATAAGTTAGTAACCCAAAACAAAATGGGCCATACCACAAATCTCAACCGCACTACCAAATTATCTTCGCCCAAGCACATTCCCCGCATCCCCAAGCGTAATGAAAAGGAGCTCCAAAAACAAAAGGATAAACGAGACCAGGCTAAATTCCGTGCTGAGGAAGAAACCCGCAAGCGTGAAAGCATCATTTACAAATAATTTCAAGAAGAAGGAGAAGCGCCGTACAGAATCCATGCAGAAAAAGATAAATGACACGATCAAGCAGCAGAAAAGAATTTATGAGAATGACCAGAAGCATTACCAGGAGATACAGAGTATGTCCATGACAAGGAAAATGGAAGAGGACAAGAAGGTGCAGATTGAGCTGGAGAAATTTGATAAATAAAATGAAGAAGTTTGAACTCAACAGACAGAGATATCAACAAGAGCAGGCGAGAAGTAAGGAGCGGAGGAACCTGATGTCGCCAAGCTCGAACCTCGGATCGGCAACCCAGCAGACAACTAAAGGTAGGCATAAGATAGAGCAGCTTAGCGAGGATGAGATTAATTTCAGACTCAGGCTTGAGAAGACTTTTAAAAATCAACTTGAGCATAAGGAGAAGCGAGAAAAACACCTTCTTAACATGAGAAGAATGCATCAAGCCAAACTTGCAAAAGACAATGAGAGGTTTAATATGAATATTAGACAAAGAGACCTTGACTTGCAGCATAAGAACAAGCTATTGATGAAAAGAATCAAAGAGAAAGCCAAAATAGGTTCTCATAAACATCAGGATGATGAATACGAAGTTAAACGGGAGAACGTAAGGCTTCGCAGAGAGAACCAGATGATTAACTATAAGAGAGAAATGGCACTAGAGAACAACTATAAAGCTCAGCTGATCGACCAACTGTTAGAGAAGAAGGAAAGAGCTGCTAAAGCAAGGGAAAGAAGCAAAACTGCAGGCATCCCGAATTCGCTCAACCTAAGTGGGATTTAATTTTAAAGGATTGATTTCAAAATAAATTAATAGTTATGGGGTTTTGGGGTTTTGGGGTTTTGGGGTTTTGGGGTTTTGGGGTTTTGGGGTTTTGGGGTTTTGGGGTTTTGGGGTTTTGGGGTTTTGGGG